CGTTTGGTACAGGATGGGCAGGAGCAGCACAGGCCATGCTGCTACTATGTCGCCCCTGACTTCAAGGTACCACCTCTATGGGGAGAGAACCGTTCCATGCCCATGATCCATTCCTTGCCTGGCCCCTCTACTGACTATACTGAGTCGGGACCAATTTAATGGCTTTTCCTCTAATCCGAGGCCAGCATCTCAGCCCAGAGAGGCCTTCAGTCAGGCCTGGGTTTGAGGCCACAGCCCCACGGTGCCCAGGACAGGGATGCTCTGGAAGAGAACGGCTCCATGTTCCTCCGTGTTGTCACCAGGCTTCTCCATGCAGCCGGTGCTTTTTGCCTTCCTCCTTGGCTGCTGGCAAAGTTCCCCTTTCAGTTGAGCGGGCCATTTTATCGGCTGGTGACTACAGTGGTAGGGCAAGGCCATCTGCAGTCCAAACCACGTGTGATCTATCCACAGAATCGCACGTCTAACTGAGCGGTAATTGCCCAACCGCTGTTCTTTATAGGCAGTTTCAAACGCTTCGGTGCCCTGCAGTAGGTGGAGATACAGATCAGTGCCTGAATCAGGCGCTCATTAACAACAGTGCAGCCAGAGGGTGGAACAGTAGTTCGCACATCTGTAGCTAGTTCCATCAGAGCAGCTCCAAGCACTTGATGGCTGATCAAGAGAAAGTCACCCCTGTGCAAAGAGCAGCCAGGAGCTTTTCTGCACTACTTCAGGGTCCAAAATAGACTCGGATGAAGATTCAGCTAGTCACCTGCACAGGAGGGCTCGAAAGATAAATTATCTCTTCCACTGATGCATGAGGCCGGTGCCATTATCCCTGCTTGACGGATCAGGATCCTGGCAGTAAAGAGCAAGGCTTTCAAATGTGACAAGTGAGTGCAGAGGCTTCCATCTCTGGGTGACCAATGTGAGACTCCAAAGAAAAGGGCCTGATTTTCACCACCCTTGGGGAAAAATGAGCTGCTTTCAGATGCCTGTAGGAGGAGGCCCACAATCTTTGGTCACTTGAAAATCATGTCCAGTCAGCTCCCAGGACGTGGCCAAAGCTAGACTGGTTAAGGAATTCCCAGATGGGTCCAGCACCATTGCCCATGGTGATTTGTATTGCTAGTGCATCTAAGCATGCTGCAGTTATCCACCAGGCCCCATCCCAAATAGCTGATTTAAATACACCACCTGTGGTGGACACAGACAGGGAAGCACAGGATAATATTGGACCAGCTCAGAGACAGGGGTCTCGGCACCCAAAAATGCCAACTGTTGTCTAGCCTGTTGCCCCTCTTCCGACTCCCAGCCCTTGCCTTTGCTCATTAAACTTCTGGTTCCAAGAACTTTCACGAAGTTTTATTTAATTTTTTCCCCAAAAAGTTAAATCATGAATAATCTCTTGCCGGTATCTTTTCAGTCACTTAATTGTCAGGAGTGTCCTTATTCATCCACTGCGCTAATACAATCAGGGCCTGGCTGAATTATTGATAGAGCTTGGCCGGCCCAAGAGACTCCCAAGCTGAGAGGGACAATTCATCTCCGGTAAGAAAACAGTAGCCTCAACAGGCAAACAATGTGAAAGGAAATACAACTGCCACCGAATGGAGGAGGAAGCTGGCTCCTTTGATCCAATGAAGGGTGGTGAAGAAGGGAAGAGTGCAGACAAAAGCCAGGGCACCAGACAAAGAGACTCGGATGAAATGTCATTAAAAAGTAAAATGAGAAATTTCCCAAAGTGAAGATGTGGGGGGGGTTGAGGTGCGAGGCACTTTTCTGCCTCTGCATAGGACGGAGTTTAAATGCTTTTAAAATATGCAAAAGGTGAGGAATTAGAAACAGGGATCTCAATTACAGAACAGCGATGTGTGAAGCAGATAACGGGAGAGAAATTATTACAAGTGCCGAGGAAGTCGGTGGCAGACTTTTCAAGGACGCCAGTTCCACGGCTAATAGAAATTTAATAGCCTATTGTGGAGGATAAGAGCTCTCCTCCTCGCCGAGCCTTCCTCCACAGGAGTGACGCTGCCCTCTCCAAGGTACTGAAAGGCCCCGGGGGATGTGCGCGCAACAGCCCGAGCCGCCTCCGCTCCGGGGTTTCTTGATGGGAGACGAGCCGCACAAGGCCACGGCGCTGTCTCCAGGCCCCACCATACAATGCCACGGGCTGCACATGCTAACCCTGCGTGAGTGTCTGTTCCAGACAATCCTCAGTAACCAGACAGAAGCAACCTGGACCCTGTCCAAGGAAAGTCAGCGTGAATTCATTGCTATGGTTTCTTCACATGGGGAAGTCCATCCCACGCTCAGGTTTATGGGCTTTTATAATGACTAGTTGGGGCATCCCTGGCTAGACTTAAAGTATACTGCATCGTAGTGCTTAGGGTCGGAAGGGACCTAAACAGATCATCAGGTCCGACCCCCTGCCCCGGGCAGGAACGGATGCTGGGGGCATATCACCCCAGCCAAATATCTGTCCAGCCTCCTCTTGAAGACCCCCAAGGTAGGAGAGAGCACCACCTCCCTTGGGAGCCCATTGCAGAGCCTGGCAGCCCTACCTGTAAAGTAGTATCTCCTGATGTCCAGCTTAGGAAATCCTAGACAGCAAAAGTCTGTCTATCCCGGGCCCTTCCCCAAGAGCTCTGGCCAAGCCTGAGGCGAGTCTGGCTTTCTCAAGTGTGGTGGAGGTCAGTTTCTCTCACAGATCCCCTACCCCAGGCCTCCTCACCTGGCTCCACAGCCTTAGCTGCATCCTAATTAGAGCTGGTCCAAACCCATTTATCAG